AGGGTGTTAAGGGTTGTTGTCTGGTTTTGCTTGAAGTTTCGTGCCTTCAGGGCTTTAGGGTGTTAGGCGCGTTTGGGGGTTGCATATTTTCCGCTTGTTCAGGATTTCTGGCCTTGAGGGGCGCGCAAGATTTCTCCCCCTCCCATCCCGCCCCCCGCAAGTCAGTGAGCCGAGAACCGGGATCCCCATGCCCTGCAGCCAGCACATCCTGAAGGACCAACGAAGTGCAGATGGCTCTGCGCAACGACGGGCTGTTGCCCGCCACGGCCGCGCACTTGGACCCCTGCCACTGTATGTGAAGTCTACCGGCTGATGCCCTAAATCCGCCTGCTGGAGCCTGAAACCCTAAACCCTAAACCCTAATCCCTAAAACCCTAAACCCTCAACCCTAAACCCTAAACACTACAGGGTTTAGGGTGCAACTACGATGGTAGCCTCTCGGCAACGCCATTGAACCTCAAGGGATGCTCCAAGGCCCCAAACCTCAAGGGCTCCCTTCCCAGGTTCGTATCGAGCATGCGCAGTCGCCCAACTTCACCGTCGCCTGTCCATCCAGCGCAGGGGCCTTGGGGGGGAGGCACCTGTTAGGTTGAGGGTTTGCAGGGATGAGGATTTCTGCATGGTTTTCGAATTCATAGTGCAATAGGAGATATCGCAATCACTTGGCGTTTCTCAGACCTTTAATACATTTGAACTTTATGATGTCCTGGGGCTGCTGAGTCGCTTTAGGGTTGCAGGCGAGTTCTTCAGTGTTTAGGGTTTAGCTTGCGGTTTAGCTATTTGGGCAAGAAGAATGTGGGGCTTCAGGTTTTCAGGGTCTATGGGATTTAGACACGAGGTCCTCAAGCGCATGGCATCTTCGCTGAGATCTCACTTAAGCCAAGATGGCAGTTCTCTAAACTAAGGACTCTCTTGGGGCTGAGAAAAAAGGGTGCTGTATTGCAATGGGAACTGAAAAGGGACCCAAAACTGAGGAAACCACGCGCGAAGCTTCGGTTCCGGCCTTTCTCAAATTGCTTGGTGGAGCTTTCAACGCACACTCCTCCGATTTATGAGTAGTCATGGTTGACAGCCACGATGCCCTACAAACTCCACAGCCTATCAACCCAAAAGACAAAGAAGCTCTACAGCCCCCACAAGCTGTACTTGGAGGATTTGGGGGGGGGGGGGACTTGGGTGTTGGGTAGGGTTAGAAAGTAGGATAGCCGGACTGCCCCAAGTAGGGTCCCTATAGGGTACGTAAGCCTCCACTTTGCGCCTACCATGTCCCCAGGTATATAAGGCGACGACCCTTAACCGTAAACTTTGAACCCTGAACCCTAAACCCTAACCCCCCAAACCCTAAGCAGCGGCCTCTCAGGTTTCCTTGAACAAGGGCGAAGGCCGAAATTTCCAGGCGCGGCCCCTGAAGCATCGCTTCCAGAATTGCTGGTTTAGGATTCAGGGTTTTCATGAAGTTTGGGGTTTCGGGTTTGTTTTCAGTCTTAGCCAGAACGTGGATTTTGGGGTTCAAGGGAAGGAACTCGGCAATTCATACTTCAAGTCTGCCGAACTAGTCGCCCGCTGTGAGAAGGGGCGTGTATGAAGTGAATTTTCTGGATCAAAATAGTGCGAACGCGTCCAGCATTCAACTGCTACACAACTTTCGAAAGCTCAGTGTCATGCTGGCTGCGAGCTCTTTGCGACAGCTGCTCCGCAGAAGCATTCGCCCCGCGTCGCCACTGTACTGGGCTGCTACAGTTCGATGGTCGGCCACCTCCTGGCAGGTGAGCTCGCACGGGCGCGTAAGATCTCCCGTCGGCATCGCCAGTTACGGCTGGAGTTCTGACGGGTACAGGCGTGTGAAAATTCAAGGCAAATGCTACTTCGTGCATCGGCTTGTGGCATCTACCTTTCTCGGCCCACCGCCGTCCCTGTTCCAGTGGCAGGTGAACCATATCGATGGCAACAAACGCAACAATGATTTATCGAACCTGCAGTACGTTAGCCCGAGCGAGAATGCCTCACACTACTGGGCCTCTTCAAGCCGGCGCAAGCCGTGCAAGGCAGGTTCCGTGCGTGAACCTGAACAGCCTTCTCGGACACACTGTACCTCAGCATCTGAAGCTTCCAGGACGTTGGTCAACAGCACGTTTGCCTCACCATGTGAGCTCAAGGTGACAGCTTCGACAGCGGATCTTGTTGAGCGAAAGCTGCTGGAAGCCGAAGTGTGGAAGAGCGCGAGAGCTCCGGGCGAAGTACATGTCATACCTGGTCTCATGGTCAGTAACCATGGACGAGTCTGCTCTAGCCAGGGACGAGTTTCCCGCGGAAGCCCTTCTTCGGCGGGATATTATCGCCTTGCGAGCCGGACGGGTCGGAGCTATCTTGTTCATCGACTTGTTGCCGGCACTTTTCTGGGACCACCCACATCTGTGGATATGCAAGTGAACCACAAAGATCTGAACCGCAAAAACAATCACGTGCACAACTTGGAGTATGTTACGCAGTCTCAGAACATCCAGCATGCGTACCTTCAACGGAAGGCAGAGAAACAAACACGAAGGGGCACGCCATTGGAGGCAAGGCCGGTCATGACGAACAGTCCATGGCTGCTGTTCAAGTCTGTCCGAGCAGCTGCAGCGCACACGGAGGTCACCACGTACAATATTTTGAAGACGTGCAAACGGCACGAACGTGGCGGTAGCTGTGCAGGTTGGGAGTTCCGCTTTGAAACTCAGGATGCCTACCCGGGCGAGGAGTGGCGCGATGTGGTATTAGAAGGAGCACGGTCAGAAATGCACGGAACATGGACGAAGAAACTGCGTGTGTGCTTTCGGTTTCGGAAGAATGTCCGGGAAGGCTTCGGAATTGAGGGCTCGAAGCTCGGGGGGAGCAGGCCGGTGGCAGCGCCACTGCAAGGGTCTACCACATGAGTTTTGCTGGCTATCATGGGCTCTTGTATCAATGTGAAAGTATGACGTGGCACTGTGTTTGATGGACACTTGAAGGCGCCCACAGAAGATCATGTGCATGCAGCATGACCGCACCCGCGCGCGCGCGTGGGTGTTTGTATACATACACACATGCACAGACATGGAGGCATCTACATTGTTGCGCTCTAGTTGCACAGCGTAAGCGCATGAAGATTCCCGATGTTTCGATCTCAGCTTGGAGCAGACGCCACAGGTCCGCTTCCATCCCAAGGCGATCGGAAAGGCACCCGGAGAAGGGGGACTTGTACTCCTTGAGTTTTGGATGTTTGGACATGGGTGTTCAGGGTGTCCCTAAACCCAAGATCCGGAACGCAAGATCCTAAAACCCTGAAGAACCAAGTCTCGCAAGCCCTAGCACTTCATCCTCCGAACCCGAAGTAAACTTGGGCAACAGGGTGTAGGTTTAGGTTTAGGGCTTAGGGCTTATGGAGGTTTCAGGTTGAGGTCGTCGGGTTTAGAGCTGAATCCTTCTCTCGGGCCCAACAAGTATTGGCCCGAACGGGCACTTCCCAAGCTGTTTCTGTAGATTTGGCCCAGGGTTCAGGGTTCAGGGTTCAGGGTTCAGGGTCTTGTTTGTTGATGGTTTAGAAATCGCGCATGTCTTTGAAGCCAAAAAGGTCCACCTTTAGCACCCCGAAAAGCAGACAGACCGGGAGAGATAAAACACACACAGGGTTTAGGGTTAGGGGTTTGGGGCTTGTAGCTTTTCGGGGGTAGAAGAAGGGACCCCTAGGAGGGATATTCCCATATATATATATATATATATATTTTTTTGTTTTTTCATATATATATATATATGTGCACCATTACATAGTCCCAAAATACCCAAGTAGCCCCCAAAGAACGCCTGAACAACCCCTAAGGTCCCCTTCTAAGGGCCCCTCCTTTAGTTTTTAAAACCTGGCAGGTGGAGTCCGACCTTGGCATCCGGACGCTGGGAAATCCCTTTGAGGAGACTTCTCGGCGGTAGGGTTTAGGGTTTAGGGTTTAGGGTTTAGGGTTTAGGGTTTCGGGTTTCGGGTTTCGGGTTTCGGTTTAGGGTTTAGGGTTTAGGGTTAGGGTTTAGGGTTTAGGGTTTAGGGTTTATAAGGGTTTAGGGTTCAGGGTTCAGCATTTAGGGTTTAGGGTTTAGTTAGGGTTTAGGTCTTCAACCCTCAGGCCCTAAAACCCAAAGTTTCAAAAGGGTCCCGCACCCCCCCCCCCCCCCAACCCTAGTTGGCTGTTGTATTCGCACGGTATAGGGTGCCACGTTTCAAGGTCGAGCGCCTTCACCGGAAGTAATAGCCCTGCTTCGCTTTATTAGCGGGCGAAATAGGGCTTCAAAACGCTGTTTTTGAAGCGGGCTCCTGTCTTCCTAGGGCTCAAAACCCTCTTGAGGTTCACAAAGCCAAAGCCCCCAAAGCCCCCAAAACCCTAAACTCTAAAGCGAGCCCAGTAAAGAATATCATAATAAAAAAACACAACACACCCTAAGGCCCTAAACCCTACACCGCATTTGACCCCAACACCCTAAGGCCCTCAAGGCCCTCAAAACCCCAACAAACCCACACCCTAAAACCCCAAACCCTATATCTATTTAAAACCCAAAGCCCAAAACCCCAAGGCCCAAAACCCTTTTTATTTCAACCCCAAAACCCTAAAACCCCCAAACCCTACACCCTCTCTAACCCCAATACCTTTTGTCCCCCCCCCCCCCCCCCCCCCCCCCAAACAACAAAACAAAAAGGAAAAAGCAACGAACCCTAAAACCCAAAACCCTATCTCGGCCCCCTTATCCTAAAACCCAAAACCCTATCTCCCCTTATCCTAAAACCCAAAACCCTATCTAGGCCCCCTAATCCGCAAAATGCCCCCTGAAGAGCCCCCAAAACCCAGCCAAAGCAGGACGTCACCATCCAGCTCCAAGGCGAAGGCTTCAGCAGCGAGGTGGCGCGACCCTAAAAACCCTATCAGGGTTTAGGGTTTAGGATTTAGGGTTTAGGGTTTAGGGTTTCGGGTTTAGGGTTTAGGGTTTAGGGTGCAGGGTATAAGCCCTGTAAAGCCTATACGCCCTTCATAAGCCCTGCATAAACCCTACATAAACCCTAGCAGCTCTATTAACAGCCCTGTAAACCCTAAAAGCGCTCAACCTCCAAACGCTCTTACTCTGACGTACCCTAAACCCCAATTCCAGGGGTGATGAAAGCCGTTGTGCCAAGAAACCTGCTAGTTGGGAGGGCGCAGGGAGAGTTCACATAAGATTTCGGGGTTCAGGATGGAGTAGGGTTTAGGGCTTCGGGCTGAAGGCTTAGGTTTAGAGTTGGGTTTGGGATGGTTGGCAAAGGAGAGGCCTCCTTTTCGAACATCTAATCTAAGTTAGCTTTAAGCAAGACCCCCTAAGTTCCAACTTAGGGAATTGTTTTGGTTGGGAACTGTAGGTGTTCGACCCCGGATACTCTATCAGCGCCCTGAGATTGGATCACAAAACCCTGCGAACATATCCGACTCTAAGCCCTACCCGAAGTCCCTTGTACTTCCTTCTTGGGGTTGGTCATACAGGGTTTATAGTATACTACCCTAAAAAGGTACTGTATAGGAACCTTAAGGTAAGTCCTTATTATGGTATACTACCCTAAGAAGGTACTTGGTAGGAACCTTTAGGTAGGCCCTAAAAACCGACACCCTAAAGGCCTCGAACTTGAAGCTCTGAGCCCCGGGCCTCTCCAATGATGCGGGGCCCACAAGCAAGCACCACCCACCCTGACCGGAACTCAGGGTTCGGAGGGCTTCCGGGGGGGGGGCTTTAAGGGGGCCTGTTTTGGGGCTTTGGAGTTTGTCGTTTAGGGTTTAGGGGTTTAGGGGTTTAGGGGTTTCGGGGTTTCGGGGTTCAGGGGTTCAGGAGTTCAGGGGTTTAGGGTTAGGGTTTAGGGTAGGTTTCAAGGGCTTATGAGGTTTCAATTCAGGGCTTATCTGGCTCCTCGCTTTGGGCCTTCAGCGTGCGCAGGTCTGCTGGGAGCTCACGGAGATCCGCCGCGCCGGCGGCATCTTCGGCATGCGCGGCAAGCTGGACAGATGGGGTGGTGGAGGGCAGGGCCTGGGTGAGTGGCTAAACCCTAAACCCGAAACCCCAAACCCTAAACCCTAATGTTTAGGGGACGAACCGGAGTCCTAAAGGGGCCTTCGGGGCCGAAACCCGACACCCCAGACCCTGAAGGGCTCCTGTGTCGGGTTTGTTGAGGGGTTTTTGGGCTAGACCCTGGGAGCAGATAGTGATGTATGATCCCAATCCTAGGCTCAATTGGCCCCAAGGTTTCGTTGCATCACGCCAGCATCAGTAGCTACTTTGTGTTGCGTGAACAATCAAAGAGGCTTGCATAAGCAGTAGCTGTCCACCCGCAACTCTCCTTTCAGAAAGGCCTTGTGACATACTGTTTGGGGTATGTGGGGCTTTGTAAGGCCCTAAGAGCTACGATGTAGTGATAGTAGTGTGCAGCCGCTTCTGAGCCGCAATATCGCAGCAAGTCTGTCTGCTTTGGCTCCAGCTCCTTGCAGCCTTTAGCCGCCATAGCCACCTGTGTGTGCTCCCGTCGACGTCAGCATGGCTCCCATGAAGGCAATGAAGGCGATGAAGGCACGTCGGCACTGTGCGCCAGGGGAATTTATAATGCAGTGGGAAGTCATTCTACGGAAGCGAAGACGGTTTCAGCTTCAGGCCATGAAGGCTGCCATGAAGTCGATGAAGGCCATGAAAGCCATGAAGGCGCCATGCAAGTTGCACGATCGCATCGCAAAGCTTCAGCTTCAGCTTGGGGATGGCAAGCAAGTAGAAACATGATGGCGTGCGAACTCGATGCATCTTCTCTAGGGCAGTGTACCGGCAGGCCATGAAGTCCATGAAGGCGATGAAGAAGAAGGCGGACGACGATGAGGCACCTGCCATGAAGAGCATGAAGTCGATGAAGGCCTGGCAGCACCACGACTGACTGTCGGCTCTCCCTTCGTCTGCAACCCAGGGTTCAGGGTTTAGGGTTTAGGGTTTAGAGTTTAGGGTTTAGGGTTTAGGGTTTAGGGCATGCAATGACATGCGGTTTGTTCTTTCCTGCATTTTCAGGCAATGAAAGCAATGAAGGCGATGAAGGCAATGAAAGCCATGAAGGCTGGGATGGTAAGTGATGGTGCCTGCATTAACCTCGTTAGGCCTTGGGACATTTTGTATAGTCCCTTATTGGGTTTAAGAGGACATATTCAGGAATGTTTTTTTCAGAGGTTTTTAAGGGCCACCCACGTTCTTTGACTCAAGTGGACTGAGTAGCGAGACATGGCTGTTTTCATCAGAGTCTGCAATGACTGGTGGTGCCAGGCGATGAAGGCGATGAAGGCCACCCGGCTGGTTCCTGCAGCTGCTCATGTAATACTGCTCATAGGTGCAAGGTTGTATGGTTCTCAAACCACCATGATACACCGAATCTAGGAGGCAAGCAAAAGCACTCTTCCTCTTGGACCCGTTTCAGGCAATGAAGGCGATGAAGTGAGCTGTTTTGTCCTGCGGGATCATCGCAGCAGCCCGTGCGCAGCGCAGGGCGTTTGTACCAGGTCCATAGGGCCTGCGCTAGCACCTGCCGCGGCGGACCATGCGCCTGCGAGAAAAGCTCCGTGCTGTAGTCACTAGAATCCTTTACACTCCCAACGCGACCCCTGGAGAAATCCTTGGTGAAGAACCAGCAAGAAGACTAAGGGGTTGAGATTAAAGGATTTGGGGGTGTGAGGCTTCAGGGGCCGCAGTGTGCGGAAGTTGGAAGTTTCAAATTCCCACATGCTCCGATTTAAGGTTTCGCGTTGGCCCAGGGTTGAAACAAAGCTGATCACGGAGGGTTTAGGGTGTAGGGTTCACAGGGTTTGAAGGGTTTAGGGTTTGAAGGGTTTAGGGTTTAGGGTTAAGGATTTAGTGCTGGGTTTGCGGCTCTTCTTAGCCACATGGATGCAAACTCGAGAGGAATAGGAAGGTTTTCAGGTCCAGGGTTTAGTGAGGGCCGCGGCAGAGCACAGCGGCTCTTTGACCTTCGTCCACCCCCCTATAGGAAGGTTTTCTGGGAGAACTTTTGTGGCCAGGGAACCCGAGAGAGGGAGTAGGGACTGCTTTTGGACCTGCGCATTGAAAAGAGCCCTTAAATGCCCCTGCCACCTTGAACCCTTGCAACCTCAAACATGAAAGCCTCACATTCCGAGACCCCTAAACCTTAAACCCTCAACCCTAAACCCTAAACCCTAAACCCGAAACCCTAAACCGGAAGGAGCCACGGCAAGACTATTGCCCGCCATCGCCTGACGAACTGGACCTTGGTGAGGCGCGGAAGGGAGTTTTTTTTTTTTTTTTTTTCAGGCTTTGGGGTTTCAGGGTTTCAGGGTTTTAGGGTTTTAGGGTTTTAGGGTTTGAGGGTTTGAGGGTTTTAGGGTTTCAGGGTTTCAGGGTTTTAGGGTTTTAGGGTTTTAGGGTTTCGGGTTCAGCGCGGGGTTGAGGGCGCAGATTATCTGTAGGGCGTTGGGAGGTTGTGAGCCTTCTACAACCCTAACACCCCTCAGTCCTCCAAGTACCGGGGTAATAGGAAGGAGCCGCCGCCTCGCACACCCCCTCGCCCCCAATGCAAGTACTTGCTTGTAGATTGTAGAGCTAGGAGATCGTCCCATGTCGTTCCTAAAAACCCTAAGCCCCCGAAGCCCTAGTAGCCGCTCAAGCACCAGCCCCTAGATCCCTTAAGCCCTGGGCTGGGAGCCTCGTGAGGTTTAAGTCTTTTTGGAAGAGCCCTTTTCTTGGAGATTCTTGACTCGTGAAAAACTACGCATCAACCCCCCGCAGTGCCCGGTGACAGTCGTAAGCTGTACATCTTGTTGCCTGCGGTGTTCCAGAGATCCCAAAGCCCTATACCCTAAACCCTATAAACCCTAAACTCTAAGCCTAAACCCTAAACCCTAAATTTGACTCCATGATGGCTCTACAAAAGCCCTGTATGCTCCCAATTGGGAGAAGGGAGGCCCAGTTCGCCAAGGTGCCCGTGGGTGAGGAGGTCACCGTGAGCTGGAAGCTGACCAACAGCTCGGCGCACGCGGCTTACGACCTCCCGATTGTAGGGGTTTTTGGGTTTAGGGTTTAGGGTTTAGGGTTTAGGGTTTAGGGTTTAGGGAGCGTTTTGTACCCAGACCCCCCCCCCATTGCTTGCTCTTTCTGTTCGGGTGAAGGTAGGGTTCAGGCTCCGGGACGAAAACTCGGGGTCCAGGTAGGGTTTGGGCTTTTGATCCTGTGCAGATCTGATGACTTGCCAGTTCTCAGGTTTTGGATTTTTGGAACTAGGCAACATAACCTTCTCTTTGACCCTTTAAGGGCTTGTATAAGGGGGTACCGAATTCCCTCTTCAGAACAGTTATGGGTTCCAGGGCCCATATGAAGTAGGGCACACTCAAGTTTGGTGAGCAATTTAGTGCTCTATCGCAATATTGGCGAGGTTGTATGTGGGACGTCCTTGTGCGGATACTATTTGAAGAAACTACTTCACATCTTGCCTGTAGCGTGAACTCTCTACCCCAGACCTTGTAAGCCCTCACGCAGCTCAGCACCCTACACCTAAATCAAAACCAAACCCTAACACCCCCCCCCCCCCCCCCCCAAACTCCTTACCCCACTAAGCCTAACTAACACCAAAAAACCCCCAACCCCCCCTCCCCCCCCAAGCCCGGACACCCCGAAGCTGCTTTGCGGCGTAAGGGAGAACATCCGCTTTGAGTTCCCTGCGCAGCTGCCTGCGGCCTTGGGTGACTTGAAGGCCGTCTGCAGCTTGCTTGCTTCGTTGGTACTTCAAAGTGGGACTATAAGTAGTATGGCTGCCTAAAGGCTCCTATGTAGTTGTTTAACGGCAGTATGCTATAATCCCCTATAACCAACCGCAAATTCGTAAGGAAGTACATAGGATAGTTACAACCAGTTACTATACAACTTGGATGGGCACGTTTTGCCCTACTCCTAACTAGCCATGGGGCCCCAGGCTGGGCTGGTTCATGTGATCAGGCTCCGATACCGTCTGAGACTGAAATTTCACGATTTGTGTAAGGGGATCTGGCGCGTGGAGGTAACATAGTCTGTTCTTTCAGCAAGGTGGTCTAGTTCAGATCTAACAATTAGCAAGGGCTTTGTTGGGCGACGACTTTGCGTGCCGTCTCGTGATCGGTTTCGGGGAACCAGAAACCCAATCCTAGACCTGCAAAGGCAGTTGCATGTGTTTCGGTTTGCGTCTAGGCACGCAAGGTGCTGTCGGATTACCCCTAAACCGCAAAATCCCAAACCTAAACCCTCTAACTCCACATTCTTAACCTCTATAAAACCCTCAACCCTCAAACCCAGAGACCTAAACCCCAAGCCCCAAGCCTTACCGGGAGCCCTTCAGCCCAAGCCTCTGCTGAACCCCCCAAAATACCTTCGCCCCAACCTTAAAAACTAAACCCTGCCTAAATCCTCAGCCCGCAACCCTAAACCCTAAACCCTAATAAGCCCTAAACCCGAAACCCGGAGCCCTAAGCCTTAAACCCTAAACCCTAAGCCCCAAGCCCTAAACCCTAAACCCTAAACCCTACTCTGAGGGAGCCCCCCCCTCGGAATCTTCCGAAGGTGTCCCCGACCAGTGGCTTCGTGGCGCCGAAGAGCCAGGGAGTGGTCTCTTTGACTTTCAAGCCCTGGGCCGAGACGGTGTGGGAGTTTGGGGGGTGGGTTTAGGGTTGAGGGTTTAGAATTAGCTAGGGCTTAGGTGTTTAGGGTTTAGTTAGGGTTTTGGAGTTTAGGGTGCAGGGTTCAGGGTCTATGGGGCTTCGCCTGTGCCATTATGGGGACTGTTTGCTTTCGCCTCCCTGTGCAGCGCCCTCGACCCCAAACCCTGAACCCCTAAACCCCAAACCCTAACCCTAGACCTGAAACCCTAAAACCCTAGACTCCTAGACCCCAGACGTGCCATCTGTGTTTATTTTCCTTGGGCTTGCACCCTGTCCGCAGTCAGTCTTGCATCCTTGAACCTGTACTTCCAACCGAGGCCCTACTAACCCCAAGCACTAAACCCCAAACCCGGAAGCCCTAAATCCGGTAACCCTAAACCCTAAACTCTAAATCCCCTAAATCCCCTAGGTCCCTGACCCCCCAAACCCGAAACCCTAAACCCTAAACCCTAAACCCCGAATTCCTATACTGAGGGCTGACAAGCAGCTCTCCGCAGACAAGGAAACCATCGCGTCTGACGCCCAGCCGATGGGCCATTAGGGTTTAGGGTTTACAGTAGGGTGTGGCAGGAGCGTCCTCTTCTGTAGGGTTTAGGGTTTAGGGTTTAGGGTTCGACTTTACCATACACCCTAAAACCCCCCACATAGTTGCTGGGTTTAGGCAGGGTTTAGGGCATAGGTGTTAGGGTCCCCAGACCCTACACCCCTATATTGTTGCAGGGTAGGCGAAGCGCAGTAGCTTTGCACAGCCCAAGCATACAACATGATGTCTTGCCGAAGAAGGACGCCTCTTTGGGCATGGCACCGGATTGCGCATTCTTAGGGTAGATACAATGTCCCTCGTATGGGAAGCCCTTATGCACGACACCCCTTGAATATCCCTATAAAACCCAAGGCTAAATACTTCGGAACCCACTAGGTAAAAGGTAAGGCACCATTTTAAGTTAACCACGTAACCACCCTTAGATGCATGGTAGAAATTTGCGGGGCTGTGTAGCAATGCCCCTCTGCAGCTGCGTAGTACCACCCAGTAACACCCAGTAGTGTGCGAATCTTGCCTAAGTATTGTACATGCACTTTAAGATACCAAAGGCGGCCCTAAGCCCTAAGCAGCAAACCCGAGGCCCGAGCTTTAGACCCTTGCACGTGTCAATTCGGAAGCAAACCGTAATCCCTCAACCCCAAAGATCCTAAAACCCCCCAAGGTGCAAGGTTGTGAACGTGACCTTCCCCGAGGATGCCGAGGGCGCAGGCTGTTGAGACTTGATGGGTTCCGGGTTGCCAAGGCAGAGGGAGAAGTGATAGGACTACAGGGCTCAGGAGTGTAGGTTTTAGGAAGTTTAGGAGGTTTAGGGCTTATACAGGGGGTTTAGGGTTTTTAGGGTTTTAGGGTTTGGGGCCGTAGCCAGAAAGCATTTTGGGGGTTTAGGCTTATGGAGCTTAGGTTTTGAGGTTTTGGACGTTGGCGGTTTCTGACTATCAGAAGGAAATGTGTATGGATCTAACCCCATGATCTAGCTGAACTGAAGGTCCTAAGCAAGAGCCCAGAATATTCCTCAGAGTGAGGGTTTAGGGTGTAAGCTTTAGGACCTTCCTCAAACTAGAGGTCCATGACCAGTACAGGGTTTTAGGGTTTAGGGGCTGTTTCTGGCATGGGGGTTTTGAATCTTGGGGGCATGAAAGGGTAGAAGGTTGCAGCTCGGACGCTGACACAGTCTCCAAGCAACATCATCAGCCTCCAGCAAATAATTACGGCCTTTCGGCCATCAATCTGTCTAAAGCCTGGCTGAGCTCTATGTCCCTCAACCCTACATCAGCCGGAGTTCTCCAGTTCACAAGAAGACCCCGCCCTCTGCCCTGCCGAAGGTGACGAGGAGCCTCCAGCAGAACGGAAGTTTGAAGAGGCAGTGCTCTTTTAACTACCCGGCACCGTAAACCCTAAACCCTAAACCCTAAACCCTAAACCCTAAGCCCTAAGCCCTAAAACGTGTTTTTGGCATCTGCGGTGTCACGTTGACACGGCTGCCGCGGCTTGAGGTTGTAATAAAGTTCTATGAGGCCTAATCAATCCATATTTTGGCCTGCTTAACCCAAAGACATCTCATTGTCCATCGGGCCGCCAAAACCCACCACGGGTAGGGTGCAAGGTTTAGGGTGTAGCGCCTCTTTCAGGACCAAAAAACTCCTGAACCCTCCCCCAGAGCCCTAAAGCCCTAAAGCCCCAAAGCCCTAAAGCCCTAAAGCCCTAAACCCTAAACCCTAAACCCCTTCTGGGCCCTAAACCCTTTCACAAGCAGCTCCTGCTTGGAAGGTCGCGGGCTCCGCCTTCGAGATGCCTCTCCAGGCTACGTTTATGCTAGGACTAGGACCGGGTGTAGGCCCTTATTGCCTTTTGTTTTTGGGTTGGGGTTCCCTTATAATCCCCTTAAGACCAAAAAGGGCGCCCTTTGTATTCCTAGGTTACTCCCGGGTCTAGTATGTTTCTCGCAGGGGAGGGAGGTTGGGGTAGTTGGTTTTGAGTACGGGGTTGAGAGCTGACCTTGAGAACCCAAATGTAGGTTTTGCTATCACACCTTATAGGCTTCTTATAGGTCCTTCTTAAGGTAGGGCTTAGGGTGAGGAATGAAGTGGTCCAAGACTTCCTGATTAGGGGTTTGCGTGCTTGGAAGCATGGTGTTTGGTTGTTCTTGGTTAGGGCTCCCTTTTTGGTCAAGAGGGAGGAGGTTCGGACCATGTTGAGATTTGCTGCTTTGGGGTTTTCGGCCGTAGACCATGTGACGAATCCTCCGAAAGCTGACTGTTCGCAGCAGCACTCGGTAACCCAACCCTAAACCCCCCAAAACCCATCGACCCTAAGCCTAAACCCCTACATGCCCCTACTGTATCGGCACTTGGATCAGACAAGCAGTCCGGGTTTGGGATTCAGGGTTTAGGGCTACAGTTTAATTGGGGTTTAGGGGGTTTAGGGTGCAGTGTGCAAGGTTTATAGGGTTCAGGGTCTGCATTTCATTTTATCATGGGTTCCCCTACTAAAAAACGGTTCTTAAGGTTTTTCAAGGGCGGGAGCCTAGGGGGCGTAGTACAGAGCGAGGGTAATAGGGGAACCCAAGATTAAAGCCAGGGTGGTAGGGGATCACCCTAAACCCTAAACCCTAAACCCTAAACTTGCAGGTCTCCGTCCTGGCTGACGAGCCGCGGCTCGAGCCCGACATCGAGGAGCGCGGGCCGAAGGTTTCGGTGAACCCTCCCGAAGCCCTAATCCCCAAGCCCTAAACCCTCAACCTCAAACCCGGAATTCTGAACCCTAAACCCCTACACCCCAACCCTAGACCCTGAACCCTGAACCCTAAACCCTAATCCTGGAACCCCAAACCCTGAGCTTTGAACACCTGGCCTCACTCGCCACAGCGAAGGAGGAAACCCCAAGCCCCAGGCCCCAGACCATGTTCTAAACCCTAAACTCTAAAGCCCTGCAACCCCCCTAAAGAGCATTCAAGCCGTGGTTCCTTGCTCCGTGAGTGTTCAATCCTGAACCAAGCCGTTCTGACCAGTGTTCTGTCTCCGAGAACCTTTCTGGTCAAGCAAGCTGGACAAGGGTCAGCTAGAAACCACATGGACCATGAACCGTGTGGCCTTTTTGACACCACTTGCTGCAGCCGCGTTGCCCCTCAAAATAATAATCGTTTGCTAAACGTGTTGGTCGAACCAGCCGAACTCTTGGTTAGAAGCCCTGTTGTCGATGCATCGTGCGAGAACAAACCGTTTGAAGCAGCGCAGAGTCGCTGAGTAGCTTCTGCGTATTCTTGGGTAGTCACGGGTAGGGCTGAGTAGCTTCTGACTATTCTTGGGTAGTCACGGGTAGGGCTTAGGGCCGTTTCGTAGGTTTAGGGTGGCAGCAAGTCCGGTTCTCACCAGTACTCCCAAACCCGGCTATAGTAGTCACGCGATGTCTACCCCAGTAGAGGGCTAAGAAGTCACGGTTGAGGGTAGGTCGCCAGATTTTCTTGGAAGCAGGACATCAACTTCCTCCCGACTGCCATGTTCTGCTCCAAGGCGCGTGTGCTTCCAGGTCTCCTTTGGTTCCGAACGACTTGGGAGGGGGGGGAGGGTGTCTGGGGGGGGCCCCTGGGTGTTCCGAAGGCGAGCACCCCAAAACACTGAACCCTAAACCCTAAACCCTAGACCCCAAACCCGAATTCTCTGCTCTTGGGCCATGATCCACGGGATGCACCTTTAACGAAAAGGGGAAGCACTTGTAAAGCCAGGGGGCCCACTCATAGACTCATATTCAGAAGCCTGATGGGAGGCCATGAGGAGGATTTAGGAGTGTTCCGGGTTGCCATTTTGGGGTTTAGGGTATAGGGCTCAGGGTTTTAGAAAGGGTTTAGGGCTGGAAGCTTTGAAGCTTTTAGGGCTAGGGTTTAGGTATCCGCTAGGCCCACAAGTACCCTAGTCTCCCTTCTCTTTAAGGGTTAGCTTCCAAGAAAACACCCGAGTGCCCTAACATGGAAAGGAAGTGAACTTGCTGCTATAATAAGGGTTAGAGAAAGCACAGTGGAGTTCCCTCGTTCTGGTAACCTAGCCTAAGTAGGGTTCAGGGGTCAGGGCTTAGGGTTTCAGAATTATTTGCTCCTGTTTTGCTAGGGGACCCTTGACCCTTACGTTTCCTGCCGAGGTCTACCGCTTCGTGCTCAAGAACCCTTCACTGCTCAGCGTGCCTTTCGAGTGGAAGGTCCAGGTGCTCTCCGGCAGGTTTGGTTGCGAGGGAGGGGAGGAGGGGAAGGGTGCGGGGTGGGCCCTGAACCCTACAGCCCAATTCCTGTAGTGGATCAGGCTTTTTACACCTGGAGCATCCTTGTTCTTCGGTCTCCATTTCCGAAAGACCTTCAAACGAAAAGCGAACTAGCTCAGGCACATTTCTCCTTTGTTAAGATAAGGCAGCTAACTCTCGATTCGCCCCGAGCTTTACTCTCTTCAACCCCTTCACACCCTAACTTGACCTAAACCCGTAAGCCCTACACAAGGTTGCATGCAGGGGCTTGGGTGGGGTGTGCTACAACTTCGCGTGGGTAACGCAACGCATTCGCAGGATTGCCCTTCTTGCCCCCCTGAGCCGAAAGATCGGTAATTACGATACGAGTTTAAGGTTGCGAGTTTGTTTTTTTTAAGTTTAGGCTTGATTCGGGTCTAGGGTTCGGGGCTTATGAGTTTTATGTTTTATGGCTTAGGCTTCAGGCTTTTGATGGGGGTCTGTTCTTTGTTGCCGATGCACCTTCGCTTGTGTTCTACATTCGGGTCCTTTCGTGAAGGTTTGCTGTCGGATTCCTTATAACAAAGATCGACAGAAGCTAACTTGGAACCACACCCCTTAAGGGGGCTGCAGCACCTGAATTTGCGCCGCATCGGGCTGGGGGGGTTACCATCGGAGCGTGTGAGGAATTGCACAGCGAGCACTCTAACTGTAATTAGCAAAGTAGGCTAGGTGCCCACATCTGCCTGTAGATGCCTTAGAAGCCTACATGTGAATTTCCGAGAATAGGGGTACCCTTCTTTGGGGGTCGCTTTAAGGGGATTCTTTTCTATTTGGGGTATACAAGGGGTGCCCCTTTTTAAGGGAAATACCCTAAACCGTAAACCCTAAAACCCCAAAAGTTCAGGGTTTGGGAAGTTGTGGAAGGCAACGGAGGCCGGTTCTTGGATCAAGCTCTGAGGTGGCTAAGCGGCAACCACTCCACTGACTATGGGAAAGGCATGGCCTACTTCACACCTAGCTACACCTGCATACCTGTGAGGCCACCACAAGCATTATTACGCTTCAGCATGGGTTGCTCAGAGGCCTAAGTTAAGTTGCCATGAGGAAGGGCACGATCTTCTTTGCCACACAACCCCTTTGATGGTTGCATAAATTGAGGTCCTAAACCCTAGACCCAGGAAGGTCGCATGGCGGTTCGGGGTTGGGGTGTGAGTCTGGGTTTCAGGGCTCAAATATACCGAAGATTGGAGCGATGAAGCCGCGCGCGGGTGGGAAGCCTGCCGACCGGGCGGAGCAGATGAGACAGAGGCAGAGAAGCCCGAAACTCTAAAGCCGGATGTGTATCAAGAGTGTTGAGCGTATAGGGTTTAGGGTTATCAACCCGCTAGACCCTTGCAGAACCCTCTGATGAGCTTTCCGAAGCCTTGGCATCTTAAAAGCTGCTGCTGATGAACGATGCCTTGTAGACTTGTAGTTGATATCGATGCGATACGACAATGTTCGCGTGCTGTCCTGCGGGTTAGAGCTTGCAACTTCAGTGGATTGTTGACATGTGGACTTCATAGGAAGGAACCCACATGAGTCTACTTCTTGAGCAGGGGCATAGGGGTTAGGTTTCAGGGTCCCAAAACCCCCCCCCAGCCCTGAGCCCGAAACCTTGTTTAGGGCAAGACCTGCCCTACCCAACCCTCAGTCGTGCCCACGTTGGGCCCGTACAGCACTCACACCAAAGTTGGCGGCTTCTTGGTCTCGTTTCTATAGGGTCCTCAAGGAAACCTGAGAGGTACTGAGTAGGCAGCCTCCTTGCGTGCTATAAACCTTGTTGAGACCTTCAAAGCCAGCAAGTGCACGACCCTGAACCGTAAGCACGTAAGCATGAAGCCGAAAAACCTACACTACGAGTACCCCAAGCCCTAAACCCGAAACGCTAAACCCCCAAACCCTAAACCCTAGACCCTTTTTACTCCCAACAACTTCGACTTTCCGAAGTGCGAGGTTGGCTGCCAAGACCTCTGGGAGCTCCTCTGCGCGTCGGGGAGGCAGGGTTTGGGGGTTTAGGGTTTAGGGTTTAGGGTTTGTCTATGGTTTAGGTGCTAGGGTTGGGACCCATACTTGGGAAGAGGTCGTGCTATACGTAGGACAGCTATAGTTGCTAGGAGGTTCATAGAGCTTTAGTTGTTTGTTAGGATTCTATTTACCTTGAGGTTTTATGATTTTCAATCCTACGTAGGTTTTCGCTGCAGAGACCTTTTGGGGCTTCTCTGAACCTCCTTGAGCCCAACCCCTAGAAAATGTGAGAGCCCACTCGACGGACTGGAGCTTGTCTGAGGCATTCATCCGGTACTGAGGCTTCGGCTGTCTAGATCTCTCGGTTTAGGGTTTAGGGTCTAGGTGTCACTGAGTCCGCGGTTGAGGCCCTCTCTGAGGCCGATAGACCCTGATATAACCAACAAGTTGTGGTTCTGGCTGTCGATTTCGGCTCCGCAGAGAAGCCTTCTAAGGCTAAACCCAGGGCCCAGGGCTTGCGGCATCGGATTGTAGAGTTTTTGAGTTCCATTTACGGAACGCTTTTTTGGTGCACAATAGAGAGAGTAGGCCGGTTCTTTGTTAGGCTTGGGTTTCTGTCACTTTAGCGCCCTGTGTCCTCAAGCCTGTGCAACATCTGGGATCAGGAGTTTTGGTTGCAGCCCTCCCAGCACCGAAGGCGGGCGGAGTGAGCAGTTGCGATTGATGACGAGGACCTGTTCAGTTCACCTAAGCTCGCCTGCAGCAGACACCCCCAAAACCCCAACTAAACCCTGACTCGACCCCTCCACCTCCCTAAACACCCACACCGGCAACGAGACGCGAAGCAACCAGAGAACACCGTACCCAACTCGGAAGGTACCTTTTTTATAGTATTAGTAGAGGAATCTCGTGGAAAAGTAGCCCTACTTAGAACTATTGGGGTTTGCGACTTTTAAAGGGTCTAGCCCAAAGATGGCACTGGCGAAGTATTTCCAAAGTTACACTCCCCAGCTAGAAGCACGATTATTGAGCTGCCAAGCAGGTCCCTGTCAGACACTCGGCAAGACCACCCTCAATCCCTGAACCCTCCCTTTTTAGGGGTTTGGGGTTGGGGTGTTCCCCCTTCTACTAACAGTCCTTAATCGGGATTATAGCACCCCCTATTATAATCCTTATTACGGACTGCTAGTATAAGGGGGGGGCTGCGGTTCAGGAACTTTTGAAGTTAAGTTACTCCCTACTGAATCTCAAAATCCTAAACCCCAAAACTCTTAGCCTTAAGAGAGATCCACCGCTGTCTGCTGGGCATGTGGGAGTTTTCGAGAGTTCAGGGATCAGGGATTCGTCATTCTAAACCAAACCCGGCTCCATTGGGGTTCCTTACGATGGGAGCGCTCGCAGGCCGTGCTCGTCGCAGGGCGGAACGTGGCCTGGGTGCTTTGGGCGCTCAGTGCCATAGCACTGGCCCGGGAGCCTGGTGAGTTACCTGGTCCCTTACAGTGGCTCCCCTTACCTTCTTCAAAAGGGTTCTGAAGTATGAATGAGCCCTTGGGTTCTATAGGGTATATAAGGGGCATACGGGTTCCCCAACTAAAGGCCTATCTGAAGGGACCATGGACATTGTAGCTACCCTAAAAGTGTTGGGATTTAGGGTGTCTGGGATGTCTAGGGTGCAAGGGTAGGGGGGCGTCAGGGTTTGAGATGTTTAGGGTTTTGGGTTTAGGGCAAGGGATTTTAGACCCGAGGGTTTAGGACGTAGGGGTATTAGAATGTCAGCTTTTAGGTTCAGAACTGTTTGAGATGAGCAAGAGCCTATGTACAGGAACTGCCCACCGACAGCTGTCCTTTAGTATAAGTATACGTACAAACGGTGTATCTATTTCTTTTGACTCTCTCTCTCTCTCTACATATATATATATATATAGATACACTGCTGTATTTCGACTAAGCCCCAACAAGATCTCTACGTGCCAATCTCAGACCCTGTAGACCCCAACACCCTATACCCCGAAGCCTGTCAACCCCTCAACCCTATACCCTAATCCCGAACCACCACTAAGACCCCCTTAACCCCGAGACCCTCAATCCTTGAGAATCCCCTCTGAACTTTGCCTCTGGAGATCCTGCCTCTGATCTTGGGCACCGGCGCGATCGCGGTGGCCTGGTTCCTCCTCCACGCAGGCGCTGGGTTTAGGTTTGAGGGTTCAGGATATTTGCGGCAGAGGTGTGAAGGGCTTTTAGGCTCTTGGAGGTTAGGATTTCGGGTCAAGGGGTGTTGGGGTTTTCGGGATTAGAGTCTTAGGGTTGCTCTGTGTGTGGGTGTGTGTGTGTGTGTGTCTCTGTCTGTGTCTGTGTCTCTCTGTGTGTCTCTTTGTGCACGTGTACGTGTACGTGTACGTGTACGTGTACGTGTACGTGCGTGTGCGTGTGCGTGTGCGTGTGGGTGTGTGTGTGTGTGTGTGTGTGTGTCTGTCTGTGTGTCTGTGTGTCTGTGTGTCTGTGTGTGTGTGTGTGTGCGCCTGTCCGGGCTCCTAGGGATTGAGCGTTTCAGGGTGTGGGGCTCTTGCGAACAAGCGCTTTGAGGGTTCAGGATCAGAACTCTCGTGGTTATCTCTATGAGGGCTTCAAGGATTGCAGCATTTTGGGGTTGTTGTGTCCAGGGCTGTGAGGTTTTAGGGCTAGGGCTCTTGTGTTTTGGGCTTCTGAGTCCTTAGGGCGTATCAGAGTTTCAGGGTTTAGGGCGCTTGTTTCAAATCAGCTCGTGGGCTCTTGTGTATCGTTGCACATATCAGACTTTTAAGGCATTTTGCGGGACTACCATCGACCCGTCCCTAAGCCCTGAACCTTGAACCAATGGCTGCTGGTTACTCGATGCAGATCTGCAGCGTGTGTTGAGGGCTTAAAGAATTCATTTGCTTTAGGGTTTAGGGTCTAAAACCCTGCACTTCCCCAAAACCCTGCACCTTCCCCAAAACCCTATGCCCTAAAGCCCTGAACTTCGAAGATCTCAAGCTCGAGCCCTCAACCTGAAACGCTACAAGCCTGTGGCCTTGAAGCCTTCAGCCCTTCACGGTTTGGGGCTTTTAGGGTTGTCTAGGTTTAGGGTTGGGTTGTCTAGGGTTTAGGGTTTACCCTGGGCCCCAGGTACCCCAGAATCAGACCCTGAGTGTACTTGAATGGGGGTATCTGTGGTATCTTAAGGGGTACATGGGGGTTTAAGTAGGTTTCGCGTGGGCGTTGGGCGTGTAGTGTATTGAGGGTTTTGGAGTTTAGGCTTTAAGGTTCCGGTTTAATGCATTAGGATTTCGGGGGAGGTTCGTTTTCAGGATTCTGAATTACAGGCTTGTCTACTGCACGGAGCTTGGATTTCCGTGCGCATATTGAACAACAAGGCAGCATCCATCCTGTCCCGACCTTTGCAGCACCCCGGCTTCACAGCCGGCAGCATTCCAGGCGGCCACCTCCTGAATCATTTGGGTGTCTACAGAAAGTAGGAAGCGACAGGAAGTAGAAGCCATGCCACAAGATTGACTCGGGCGCGCCGGCGCTTGCGAACAATGCACAGCTTAACTTCAGTCGCCAGACTACGCCTTCACCAAAAGATTTGGAGGGAGATCCGTCTCGGAACGATTTCTGTGCAAGCACGATGGGGCTCGTGTGAGTGGCAAGTTAGCTCATTTGGTCGTGTCAGGTCTTCAACTGGTGTGGTCAGTTCTGGTCATGCGACGGATGCTGGGTACCGCCGAGTGACGATAAATCGCCGGCAGTACTACGTCCATCGGCTGGTGGCTGCAGCTTTTTTGGGCCCTTCACCAGATCCGAGTAGATGGCAAGTCAACCATGTGGACGGCGACGCTGCCAACAATGCTGTGACCAACCTGGAATATGTAAGTCCTGCCGAGAACCAGCTCCATTCCTTCCAAACCAACCGAAGTCGGAGACGTGCCGGAGACCGCCTTGGGAAAGCAGTCTTATGGCGCCCCACTGGGCAAGAGTCTTGGAGCTTGTGCTCATCTCAGGCGGAGACTGAAAGGCTTTTGGGGTTTGGTCGCGACACTGTCGGTCGGTGTTTCCGAGGCGCACAGCCCACTTCTTCTGCCAATGGTGTGTGCTACGAATTCAGACCTGCAAATGCACCGACCACCTCTCAAGAAGAAGGTGAACTTTGGAAGGTTGCTCGCTACCCTGGCAGGCCCGATGCAGTCCCAAATCTAACAGTCAGCAGCCACGGAAGAATCTGGTCTCAAACGTGGCGACAGAACACAACAGTAACTCAGGGCACCGAAGATAGGCAAGGATATTTCCGTGTCAGAAAGGCAGGCTGCCTCTTTCTGGTACACCGCTTAGTGGCTGCTACATTTCTTGGACAGCCAGGGGACGCAGGTTTATACGTCAATCACATAGACGGCGATCGTGGAAACAATCATGTTCACAACTTGGAGTATGCCACACCATCTGAGAACATGAAGCATGCCTATGCTCTGATGCGAACGGACGGGCAGGCCCCCAAGAGTAGGAACGGAAAGGCTGTGCTGGCGAAAGAGATTGGGTCCCATGAATCCTGGCAGGCATTTGATTCAATTTCAGCTGCAGCTCGGCACACAGGCATCAAGGTTGTTCACATCTCTCAAGCTTGTAGAGGGCTGCGCGGATACGCTGGCTCCTGCGAGTTCAAATTTATGCCACAACAGCAACCAGTCTTGGGAGAAGAGTGGCGACCTGTTGTTCTGGAAGGGGCCCGCATCGCAGTCTCACAGCAAACAAAATAATTTGGCTCTGATGGGCCCATATCATGCAAGCTCCTTTTGTCGTTCGGCATGCCACCATTCCTGGAAGCTGACTGCTTCGCATGGAAAGAAGTCTGAAACGCATGGAAAGAAGTCTGAAATCTGTATAGGTAACAGCAGAAGCTTTTCCTTCGAAGGTGAGTGTCCCGCCCTGTCAGGTACTATAGTATATTTTAGCAATAGTATTACCCGACCGCAACAGCGACATGGCCCCGAACTTTAGTCCATATTCAACCTTTCATCCCAAGATGGTCGTTGTTCAGCTTAGCCCAAGACGAAATCCCCAACGCCAGATGCGAGTTCCTGGTCCCGTTTGCGGTTTAGCGTGTTTAAGGTTTCGGGTTCAGGGTTTAGGGTTGTAGGTTTGAGTAGGTTTAGGGTATAGAGGGACATAGCACGAGCGCAGGATACTTCGCGAACTTCTCGCGCAGCGACTTGCCCCTCCAGGTGAGCTGCATGGGTGCCTTAAACCCTGAGCCCTCACCCCAAAACCCTACATTGGGGTTGGACCTGCGAGGGGTTCAGCGTAGGAGTTTTGGTTGGGGGGTTGTAAGTATATAGCCCTAAATCCCAAATCCTAAAAACTCTAGGCCCTAGACCCTGAACCGTGGGAACCCTAAACCCTTAAAATGGATGACTCTAGGTCCGGCCTTGCGCACGAAATAGTGCCTCTCGGCCACACGCCGTGGGGTTCAGGGTTTCCAAAGGCGCTGAGCTTTAGGGTTCGCAGATGAAGCTTTAGGACCTAAGCTGGATCCCTCACACTCTCCCGCCCGCCCCATGTTTCAGGGCCCGTTTGGGTGTTTGGGGTGCGCGATATGGGCAGCTCCCTAAAGTCAGCAACTTAGGGCCTGGGGGTTTGGGGTTTATGGGCTTAGGGGTTTAAGGTTTAGGGTGGCAGGGACTGGCAGGTTTCGGTCTTAATGGTCATAGTCAGGAACGAGAGGCTCTTTTGACCCATTGAATTGCTTGACAGAATCTTTCACCGTGAAGCCCTGAACCCTAAACCCTGAACGCTACAACCAACTCAACTTGGCAGGGCGAATCCCAAACTCCCCTAAGCCCCTAACCCTGAAGCCGAAACCTTAAAGCCTCCCTGCTGGCCTCCCTGCTGGTTGGTCTCCATTCTGTACATTGCTTGTGGGTAGCTCTCTACATTAGGCTCCCCAAAAGAATGCGCCAACTAAAACCTAGACCTAGACTCAATATAAGCCCCGAGCCAGTTGCTTCCGATCGGTTTGTTTGAGGTGCGGCTGTGTTGCCTAGTTTGGTCGGCGGGGACCCCAGCTCCGGGTGGGTTTCGGAAGTTTGGGGCTGAAATGTATGTTTCGCATGGGGTTGCCCGAAGATTGTTACGCAGGCAATGCAAAGTTCCGGTCGGCCTGAGTCATGAAACCATGTTTTTGGTGCATACCACGTTTACCGGGTCAATGTCGCAACCCTGAACCCCAAACCCCAAACCTTAAACCCTACACTTTCAAATCCAAAACCCTAAACCCTAAACCCCAACGCCCTCGAACTTGAAACGGTGCCCAGGGATTTGGTGCCTTGATGCCACCAATGAGGCCCGGCAGTTTGGAAAGGAGTTTGTGGAGGGTGTAAGGTTGAGGGTTCGGGGTTTTTTGGTGTTTCTTTTTCAGGGTTTGGGGTTGAGCGGGGGGGAGAGGGGGTAGGGGTAGCTTAGGGCGTTCTTGGGTTCTTTCGCTTCGGGACTTCCGGATGTTTCGGGGGCATGGGCTTGGGATTTTAACTTGCTCTGGGGCTGCAGCTGCACCTCGTCGGCGTTGGCTCAAGCTACTTCCCGTCTTTTCGCCGTCTCTTGGTGTGTGCTTGCCCGCCGACATCAGCATGGCTCCCATGAAGGCAATGAAGGCCATGAAGGCAGGTCGGCAGTGCGTGCTTGAGGGCTTTGATCCGCTGATTCTTTTTTTCGGAAAGGAGACTGCTCGATTGCAGGCCATGAAGGCTGCCATGAAGTCGATGAAGGCCATGAAAGCCATGAAGGCGTGATGCACACCTGCACGATCGGATCGCAAACCTGCAGCTTCACGACGGCAAGTACGTGGGAATATGATGGCATGCGAACTCGGTGAAGCTTCTTGAGGTTGTGCACCGGCAGGCTATGAAGTCCATGAAGGCGATGAAGAAGAAGGCGGACGACGATGAGGCGCCTGCTATGAAGAGCATGAAGTCGATGAAGGCCTGGCAGCACCACTGGCTGCAGTGCGATTGTTTATGCGCATGCAGTGACACGTGCGCATTCCCTGGCTGGCCTTGTTCTGCGAGGCAATGATTCAATGAAGGCGATGAAGGCAATGAAAGCCATGAAGGCTCGAATGGTGCCTGCATTGATCTAGGTTCTTTCATTCAAGTGGGCAGAGCAGTGTTGATCAGAGTCTGCAATGGTTGGTGATGCCAGGCCATGAAGGCGATGAAAGCGATGAAGGCACGCGTTAATTCCAAGCAGCTGCTGATTGGATCCTGTTTGAGCCAATTGCACGGTTTTGGGTTTAGGGTTTAGGGTTTAGGGTTTAGGGTTTAGGGTTTAGGGTTTAGGGTTTAGGGTTTAGGGTTTAGGAGACAACACGATACATTTGCCCAGTCCTCGAATCTATAGGTAGCAAAGCCGTCTGCAACCCTCCCCCCTCTCAGGCAATGAAGGCGATGAAGTGAGCTGTTTTGTCCTGAGGGATCATCTCAGCAGCCCGTACGCAGCGCAGGGCGTTTGTGCCAGGTCCATAGGGCCTGCGCTAGCACCTGCCGCGGCGGACCAAGCGCCTGCGAGAAATCATTAACTGCCGAGTTGGGATCTCACCCTCACACTAAACAGAGCATCTCCCGCAAGGGGACCCATTTATACAGACCCTCAAATATCATCCTCAATATGCGTACTCCCCAGATAGAGCACCCTTATTTTTGAAACCTTGTTGGGCCTGGGAGTTGCAAGGATACACGGCAGGGCTACAGCGGCTACAGCGTGTTTGAGGTTTAATTCCTCCAAGTTCTCTGACTAACAGTGACTAGCACTTGCACAGATTTCGGGGTGCTCGAGGCTAGTGGGTTTATATAGGGTTTACGGTTGAGGGTCCGAGGGCACGCTTCTCGGGCCACAAGCGCCAAACACCAAACCCTAAATCCTAAACCCTGCACTTTCGGGTTCTGGGGTTTGGGTTTAGGGTTTAAGGGGTTTAGGGTCTCCGACCCATCAGGTTCGCGCTCTACGTGGCCTTGCTGGGAATCGTGGTGCCGTGGCGCATTTTGAATTCAGGGTTAAGTTAGGTTAAGGCTTGATGTTTGGGTTGGGGTTGGGACCTCAATGGGGATTATAGTACCCCCCTATTATAATCCTATTAAGGACTGTTCGTATAAGGGGGAACGTCCCAAGGTAGCTGGCTTACGCTCTGGGGTTTAAAGTTGCCTGCTTGGAGGTTTGAAAGTTGATTCGGTCACAACTCTACCAAGTGAACCGGTTCGGGCGTGGGTGTAGGCATTCCGCAAGGTACCGAACATCATATAAGGCAGGGTCGGGTCTTCATATTTCATTAGGTTATGGTGACTGTATTTACAGTTCCGTATGAATATGCAACTTTGATTCTCTGCAGGGATGGGTGCATGGTTTACACTTCGGGGCTTTGGGTGCTGCATTATAGGATTCAGAGCCTTGCTTTCAGGATTGTGGATTCAGCCGAACTAGGAGTAATGCCTGCCTCAGTTTCCTAACTCCTAACCCTACGTAAGTCCTAAACCTTAGCCCTAAACCCTAAACCCTAAACTTCCTAAACCCCTGAACCCTCTCCAAGCACTGTTTGCCACGCCGCACACGCTAGCTTCGACACTGCAAGCCCTAAACCCTAAACCCTAAACCCTAAACCCTAAACCCTAAACCTTAAACCTTAAACCTAAGAAGTGCTGGGCGGGGCCTGAAGGAAGTTGCATGGCCCCCTGAATATGTCCCCTTGCCCTTCTTTAACAGGGTTCTGAGGTATGGGCCCTTAGGCTTGATGGCGTATATCAGGGTTTAGGGTTTAGGGTTTAGGGTTTAGGGTTTAGGGTTTAGGGTTTAGGGTTTAGGGTTTAGGGTAAGTGGGTTCCCTACTTCAGGGCCAGTATTAAGGGGCCATGTACCTACCTTAAAACTGTATACCTGAGGAGCCCCCCCAAATAGCCCTTATAGCCCCTGAAAGATCAATAACATCAAGCTTAGGGTTGGGATCAGAAGTTGAGAAGTTTGGGATTTTCATAGGCTCCCTTCTACAGGTCCACCTGTAACCCCATGAACACAAGTCAAGTTTTCCACCAAAGGCCGAGAAGGTTTAGGGTTTAGGGTTTAGGGTTTAGGGTTTAGGTTTCTGCATGCACCAACCCTACACTTTACGAAGCCAGCCGCACTCTCTGGCGAAGTGTGAAAGTGGCTCAAAGATCGTAGAAGCTTGACGCCCGGGTCTCCCAACAATGCCCATCTCTTCCACGCCACCAGCATCCAAATGGTTTCCTGCTTTCAGGCAGGAGCTGCCCAAGGTAGATGGCAAAGTCTTCGTCATCACAGGCCGGCTCATGTCCGTGCATCAAGAAACAGGTTAAGGCTTTCAAGGCGCCAAACCCAAAAGTTTAGGGTTTAGGGTTTAGGGAAGCCCTACACCTCAAAGACCGGTCTTAGTGTGAGCCAGCATGGTTAAATCATGGTCCCTCGTGCGGTTCCCTTTATCGCACAGAGTCGTCTGTTCAGACTCCCCCTGAGAAGAGAACGTACCCTTTTTGGTCAAGTACATAGGTTTAGGGTTGGGGGTTCAGTCAGGGTTTAGGGTTAGCCCACCTTAAACCCTAAACTTTAAACCCCTAAACTAAACTCCTAAACCCCTAAACCCTAAACCCTATAAACCCTAAACCCTAAACTTTAAACCCCTAAACTCCTAAACCCCTAAACCCTCAACCCTAAACCCTGCCCTAAACCCACAGGCACCACCACTGGCACCGGGTTTGTGGCAGCGCAGACCATTGCCGAGCTGGGTGGGGAAGTCCCTTGGTGATACTAGTATAACTCCTATTAAGGTATATACTACTATAACTCCTATTGAGGTATACCCTAACCCTAAACCCTAAACCCTAAACCCTAAACCCTTTTAGGATTTTTTTTGGTCCCCCAAGGTCTTGCTGCTGAATCGCACGTCGGAGAGGGTGACCCGTGCCATGGAGAAGTTAAAGGCCCACTCTGGGGCTGTGGGGGTTTGGGGGGTTTAGGGTTTAGGGTTTAGGGTTTAGGGTTTGAGCATGTAATGTTTAACTATCGTTTATGTTTGCCGCCTTTCAAAACCTGCTGCCGTTCCACCCTCTCCACGGCCATATGATGCCAGTTTGGAACCCGTTTGCCTCCAGCTCAACTGGGGGGGGTTTACGAAAACAAGGGACCCTAATATACACCCCCAAATAGTAGGATTCCCTTATGATAAGGACCCCAACAAGGTACGCCTGACTTCGGAAACCCCCACTGATAACACCACACTAAACCCGAAACCTGCGCATCCCTAAACCCTAAACCCTGAACCCTAAAGCCTAAACCCTAAACCCCCTGGAACCTCCAAGCAGGAAGCCGTGCCCAATGGCAAGTTCGTGAGCATCGAATGCGACTTGCAGGACTTCGCGAGCGTTCGCAAGGCAGCTTCAGAGTTCTTTGGCCTTGGTAACCCAGTGGTACCCTTTTACCCTTTTTTGGGTTCTGGGTTCCCTTATAGAGTAGCCAACCAAACAAGGGTGCCCTTATTATAATATGGTTACTGCTTCAGAGATCTTTGGCCCAGACTCGGGTTTTGCGGTGTAAGGTTTTGTTGTTTCTGGTGGGGGGTGGGGGGCTCCTAGCCTCCTTGACCTCGAAGCAAGAACGAAGAACGCGCAAGAGGTTCACGAACCCTGAACCCTAAACCTTAAGCCCTAAAACCAGGATCAAGTCAAAATACTCAAAGCTCTATTGCCTGGCGAACAACGCCGGAATCGCAGCCTCCGTCGACAAGGCCACCAAGGACAGCCGCTTGGAGGTTCATGGCAGTGGTCACTGAAGGGTTTAGGGTTTGGGGTTTAGAGTTTAAGGTTGAGGGTTGAGGGTAAGAGGCAGTGGCCGTATCTTGGCAGTCCTTAATAGGGATTATAATGGGGGGGTACGGGGCTACTATACTCCCTATTGATGACTGTTAGCATAAGGGGGAAACATCCCAAGTGGTAAGTGTAGCGTTTAGGGGTCAGGGGTTCGGGTTTAGGGCTTAGGGGTTTAGGTACCCCGAACAAGGTTACAACCCGTTTTGACCATAGCTACCCTGCAAGGACGGCTACGACACCCAGATGCAAACCAATCACTTGTCGCATTTCCTCCTCACCGCTGAACTGCTTCCCGGCGAGGTTCAGACGTGGTTCGTGTGTGCGTTGGGTGTTCTGGGCTGTCGCACTGCGCATTAAGTCTGTGCGACCGCTGCTTAAACTGCACGGCGCTGCACACGCACATGTGCACAGTTTGTTGAAGACACGTGCCTCCAGCCTCGTGCAGCGTCACAGTATCGGCTACCAAGGTTTCCACTTCTGGAAGCACAGGCCAAAGAGACCGGAGATGCTCGAATCGTGAATCACTCCAGCATGGGGCGGTTGCACACCGAGCACAAAGGCCTCGAGGAGAAGTACTTCGGCACCTCGGGGACCAAACGAACCCAAAAATTTGGGGGTCATGTACCTATACTGGTATAACTCCTACTAAGGCATTATAGAGCCATAAACCCTTTTAGGGTTCATGCTGTCCCCCAAGGCAAGAATGGAGGCAATCTAGGGGGCAACTCCATCACGCTGATGGGCGGCGGCTGCTTCTTTCGGTACTTCCAGAGCAAGCTCGCCAACTCCGTGTTCACGTACGCGCTCCATGAGAAGCTGAAGGCCCGAGGCTCGAAGGTCCGGGCGGTTTGTGCGCATCCCGGAGGATCTGACACTCACCTGGATCAGAACATGGTGCAGCTTAGCTGCTGGGAAGACACTTCGCTGCTGAGTGGGTAACCTCCCCGCTTTGGCTACTATAGGCCCCTCTTGCACCCCCCGATGATTACTCAACTTTCGTGGGTAAGCTTAACCCTAGAACCCTAGAACCCTAGAACCCTAGAACCCTAGAACCCTAGAACCCTAAACCCTAAACCCTAGAACCCTAAACCCTAAACCCTAAACCCTAAACCCTAAACCCTAAACCCTAAACCCTAAACCCTAAACCCTAAACCCTAAACCCTAAACCCTAAACCCTAAACCCTGCCAGTAAGGACATGATCCTGAAGTTCGTGATGAAGTTCCTGATTCAGTCTCCAGAAGATGGCACCATGGGGCTACTTCTTTGCATGGCCAGTCCAGACGCCCAGAGTGGTGTCCTCTACGGACCGATGTTGGGCTGCGGTTGAGGAACTTCAATAAGGGTTTAGGGTTTGGGGTTTAGGGTTTAGGGTTTAGGGTTTAGGGTTTGGGGTTTAGGGTTTAGGGTTATAGGGTTTAGGGCTTTTATCCAAAAGATGGGCAACTAGCTAGTATGGCTGCAAAACCTTGGTTATTTGTTCCTCTGACCCTAAGCCCTAAACCCTAAACCCTAAACTTTCCTTGACAGCTTAGGAAAGATTCAGGTATCTATGGCCCAGCAGTGCCCAACCCCACGGAAGCCTACGAGACGGACGCGTCGGCGCAGGAGATGCTGTGGAGGACCAGCGAGGAAGCTACGGGCATCAAGTTCACGCTCTGAGCTTAGGCACATATGGGTGGTTGTCAAAATTATGGTCCCTTTTGGGATCCTTAATATTATACGGCACCTAATATTTAGGGTACCCCAAAAGGGATCATAATTTTGACAACCACATTTCTTGGGAGCTTTGCGGAGTTCAGAGCTGCAAGCTCTGACGCTCAGGGTTGAGTCCTCTCGCACGATTGTCGACTTTTGTGCGACACGCGCGTCGGCAAAGCTACTGCGAGAGACCCTAAACCCCAAACCCTAAACCCTAAACCCTAAACGCTGCTGTAGCATGTACAGGGACTTGTGTGAAGCTACGGCGGCAGAGAAAACTTTCTCGAAGGCCAACGACAACCTTGAAGGGTCGCTGGATCAAGCCTTGCTGAGAAGATCAAAGCAAAAAGAGAGTGGGTTTAGGGTTCAGGCTTCAGGGTTCCGGGTTTAGGGTTTAGGGTTTAATTAGGGTGAGTTGGTGAAGATAAAAGTAGTGGAAATTATCATCGAAGTTATGCGTGAAAGCGCAGTGTAATTCCTTCTTGCTGCAGGGCGATTTTAGTCGTCATGGTCAGAAGAGTCATACAAGTTCAGCGTTTTAGGGCAGGGCGCTTCTTGGGGTTCAGGGTTTCCCTAAACCCTCAACCCTAAACCCTAAACCCTAAACCTTAAACCCTAAACCGTAAACCCTAAACCCTAAACCCTAAGCCCAAACCCTAAACCCAGGTGACTGACCTGCTGATAGGGTACAATGTGCTGGAACGCCCGGGGCCTTGCAACACTCGGCTTGCGGGCTCTCCCTGTGCAGAGCCCTCCGGTCTTCTAGCTGGTTCTTAGTAAGGGAATGAGGGAATGAGCTAACCTATGTAATCCCTTAAGAGGTAGATACAGGGCTCGAATTCCCTCATTCCCTACTACTTGTAAGGGGTTGTTCTCTCAAGTAGAGTCCAGAACCTAACCTTAGTAGAACCCACCTTGGTGTTTGATAGAATTGGCCCGGAAGCTCCATGGCATGTTCATAGAGTTCTCCTCGCAAGGACAAATCTGCCATCATTCTACAGGGCTGCCTGGCTAGTCTTAGGTAAGTTCTGTTAAGGACTCTACAAGCCGGGCCCCCAAGAAAGCGATGACGGTAGATATTGAGTACCTTGCAGAGTTGATTTAGGGTTTAGGTATCTGCAGTATCCTAAACCCCAAGCCCGAAATCCTAAACCTGAAGCCCTAGGCTCTCCCTAAACCCTAAACCATGAACCCTGAACCCTGAACCTCCCTAAACCCTAAACCCTAAACCCTAAACCCTAAACCCTATACCCTATAGTACGAAGGACCTTTATGTACTATTTGGCAATCCTCTTTGTTTTGTTTATATTGTAAGGTTTCGGAAATAAGCGCGCTATTTTTTTTTAAGAATTTAAGGAATTTAAACGCTTTAAATTCCTTAAATTGGAAATAGGGCCGGCATTTCTTTTTTAAGGAATTTAAGGAATTTAAAGGGCTTAAATTCCTTAAATTCCTTAAATTGGAAATAGGGCCGGTATTTCTTTTTTAAGGAATTTAAGGAATTTAAAGGGCTTAAATTCCTTAAATTCCTTAAATTGGAAATAGGGCCGGTATTTCTTTTTTAAGGAATTTAAGGAATTTAAAAGGGCTTAAATTCCTTAAATTCCTTAAATTGGAAATAGGGCCGGTATTTCTTTTTTAAGGAATTTAAAGAATTTAAGGAATTTATAAAATTTAAATTGGGTGGCCTGGGTTTTGAAATAGGGGCCGCCGATTTAAATTTTATAAATCCTCTAAATTCTTTAAATTCCTTAAATTGGAAATAAGGCCGGTATTTCTTTTTTAAAGAATTTAAGGAATTTAAAGGGCGTAAATTCCTTAAATTCCTTAAATTGGAAATAGGGCCGGAATTTCTTTTTTAAAGAATTTAAGGAATTTAAAGGGCTTAAATTCCTTAAATTCCTTAAATTGGAAATAGGGCCGGTATTTCTTTTTTAAGGAATTTAAGGAATTTAAAGGGCTTAAATTCCTTAAATTCCTTAAATTGGAAATAGCGCCTGTATTTCTTTTTTAAGGAATTTAAAGAATTTATGGAATTTATAAAATTTAAATTGGGTGGCCTGGGTTTTGAAATAGGGGCCGCCGATTTAAATTTTATAAATCCTTTAAATTCCTTAAATTCCTTAAATTGGAAATAGGGCCGGCATTTCTTTTTTAAGGAATTTAAGGAATTTAAAGGGCGTAAATGCCTTAAATTCCTTAAATTGGAAATAGGGCCGGTATTTCTTTTTTAAGGAATTTAAAGAATTTAAGGAATTTATAAAATTTTAAATTGGGTGGCCTGGGTTTTGAAACAGGGGCCGCCGATTTAAATTTTATAAATCCTTTAAATTCTTTAAATTCCTTAAATTGGAAATAGGGCCGGTATTTCTTTTTTAAAGAATTTAAGGAATTTAAAGGGCTTAAAGGGCTTAAATTCCTTAAATTGGAAATAGGGCCGGTATTTCTTTTTTAAGGAATTTAAGGAATTTAAAGGGCTTAAATTCCTTAAATTCCTTAAATTGGAAATAGGGCCGGTATTTCTTTTTTAAGGAATTTAAGGAATTTAAAGGGCTTAAATACCTTAAATTCCTTAAATTGGAAATATGGCCGGTATTTCTTTTTTAAGGAATTTAAAGAATTTAAGGAATTTATAAAATTTAAATTGGGGGGCCTGGGTTTTGAAATAGGGGCCGCCGATTTAAATTTTATAAATCCTTTAAATTCCTTAAATTCCTTAAATTGGAAATAGGGCCGGCATTTCTTTTTTAAGGAATTTAAGGAATTTAAAGGGCTTAAATTCCTTAAATTCCTTAAATTGGAAATAGGGCCGGCATTTCTTTTTTAAGGAATTTAAGGGATTTAAAGGGCTTAAATACCTTAAATTCCTTAAATTGGAAATAGGGCCGGTATTTCTTTTTTAAGGATTTTAAAGAATTTAAGGAATTTATAAAATTTAAATTGGGGGGCCTGGGTTTTGAAATAGGGGCCGCCGATTTAAATTTTATAAATCCTTTAAATTCTTTAAATTCCTTAAATTGGAAATAAGGCCGGTATTTCTTTTTTAAGGAATTTAAGGAATTTAAAGGGCTTAAATTCCTTAAATTCCTTAAATTGGAAATAGGGCCGGTATTTCTTTTTTAAGGAATTTAAAGAATTTAAGGAATTTATAAAATTTAAATTGGGGGGCCTGGGTTTTGAAATAGGGGCCGCCGATTTAAATTTATAAATCCTTTAAATTCTTTAAATTCCTTAAATTGGAAATAAGGCCGGTATTTCTTTTTTAAAGAATTTAAGGAATTTAAAGGGCGTAAATTCCTTAAATTCTTAAATTGGAAATAGGGCCGGTATTTCTTTTTTAAGGAATTTAAGGAATTTAAAGGGCTTAAATTCCTTAAATTCCTTAAATTGGAAATAGGGCCGGTATTTCTTTTTTAAGGAATTTAAAGAATTTAAAGGGCTTAAATTCCTTAAATTCCTTAAATTGGAAATAGGGCAGGTATTTCTTTTTTAAGGAATTTAAAGAATTTAATGAATTTATAAAATTTAAATTGGGGGCCTGGGTTTTGAAATAGGGGCCGCCGATTTAAATTTTATAAATCCTTTAAATTCTTTAAATTCCTTAAATTGGAAATAGGGCCGGTATTTCTTTTTTAAAGAATTTAAGGAATTTAAATGGCTTAAATTCCTTAAATTCCTTAAATTGGAAATAGGGCCGGTATTTCTTTTTTAAGGAATTTAAGGAATTTAAAGGGCTTAAATTCCTTAAATTCCTTAAATTGGAAATAGGGCCGGTATTTCTTTTTTAAGGAATTTAAAGAATTTAAGGACTTTATAAAATTTAAATTGGGTGGCCTGGGTTTTGAAATAGGGGCCGCCGATTTAAATTCTATAAATCCTTTAAATTCTTTAAATTCCTTAAATTGGAAATAGGGCCGGTATTTCTTTTTTAAGGAATTTAAGGAATTTAAAGGGCTTAAATTCCTTAAATTGGAAATAGGCCCGGCATTTCTTTTTTAAGGAATTTAAGGAATTTAAAGGGCTTAAATTCCTTAAATTCCTTAAATTGGAAATAGGGCCTGCATTTCTTTTTTAAGGAATTTAAAGAATTTAAAGAATTTATAAAATTTAAATTGGGTGGCCTGGGTTTTGAAATAGGGGCCGCCGATTTAAATTTTATAAATCCTTTAAATTCCTTAAGTTGGAAATAGGGCCGGCATTTCTTTTTTAAGGAATTTAAGGAATTTAAAGGGCGTAAATTCCTTAAATTCCTTAAATTGGAAATAGGGCCGGCATTCCTTTTTTAAGGAATTTAAGGAATTTAAAGGCCTTAAATTCCTTAAATTCCTTAAATTGGATATAGGGCCGGTATTTCTTTTTTAAGGAACTTAAAGAATTTAAGGAATTTATAAAATTTAAATTGGGGGCCTGGGTTTTGAAATAGGGGCCGCCGATTTAAATTTTATAAATCCTTTAAATTCTTTAAATTCCTTAAATTGGAAATAAGGCCGGTATTTCTTTTTTAAAGAATTTAAGGAATTTAAAGGGCTTAAATTCCTTAAATTCCTTAAATTGGAAATAGGGCCGGTATTTCTTTTTTAAGGAATTTAAGGAATTTAAAGGGCTTAAATTCCTTACATTCCTTAAATTGGAAATAGGGCCGGTATTTCTTTTTTAAGGAATTTAAAGAATTTAAGGAATTTATAAAATTTAAATTGGGTGGCCTGGGTTTTGAAAGAGGGGCCGCCGATTTAAATTTTATAAATCCTTTAAATTCCTTAAATTGGAAATAGGGCCGGCATTTCTTTTTTAAGGAATTTAAGGAATCTAAAGGGCTTAAATTCCTTAAATTGGAAATAGGGCCGGTATTTCTTTTTTAAGGAATTTAAGGAATTTAAAGGGCTTAAATTCCTTAAATTCTTTAAATTCCTTAAATTCCTTAAATTGGAAATAGGGCCGGCATTTCTTTTTTAAGGAATTTA